TTTCAACTTTTCATTTATAATTGTGAGTTTATGGATATGAGTTTTAAGGGTTCCCCTTATACCTGGGCTAACAATAGATTGAATGATGCTGATATTAAGGAACATATAGATAGAGCTATGGGTAATGAGGCTTTTTGCAATAGATTCTTAAGAGTTGTTTTTTATGAAGAGCCTATTAAGTCCAACCATGCTATACTTAGGCTGGATTTGAGAAGGATTCACATACATCTTGGGGTTAGTCAAGTCTATTGGAAGGCCGTGATCTATTACAAAAATATTTGTTCTGGGAAATAGGGAATGGCAATAATGTTAAAGTCTTTTTAGATCGATGGATTCATGATTTACTAGGCTCCATGGTAAATGTTGAAAATTTAACTGATGATGAGAAGAAGATGATTGTTGATCAGATTATTGTGAATAGTCAATGGAATCTAGATAGGGTGAGAGCAAGGCTCTTATCTCATGAGATTCTAAAAATTTTAAAAATCCCAGTTTATGGTAATGGTAGTAAGGCTAAAGTAGTATGGCTAGAATCAAAAGATGGTATTTATTTTGTTAAATCAGGATATAAGGCAGTGAGAAGAGAATGGGATTCAGCAACCTTACCTAATCCATATCATTTGTGGAGGCTTCCTAAAGCTCTTTGGAGAGAAAATTAGGATATGCAATTTCCTCCAAAGATTAAACATGTTCTTTGGCATCTTTGTACTGGTTCACTAGCAAGTAAGGAAGCTTTGTACAAATGTAAGTGCTCTCCAACCAACATGTGTTTGATCTATCATTCTGCTATAGAATCACGAGAACATCTCTTTCTTTATTGCAGCTAGGCTAAGGTCGTCTGGTTTGGCCCTTAATTGGCATTAAATGTTGATAACTTGACATCAGTGAGACTTGAGAAATGGGTGTGTGAGAGTATTCTTTGTGACAAGAAATTGAAAGAATATGACAGTACTTGTTGTGCTTTCACTCTCTAGTATATTTGGAAATTTAGATGTAATTATATCTTCCAAAGTGTTTCACAAAATCCACGATCAATGATTTTGCTTGCTGAAAAAGGTCTTTAAGAGTTCTAGTTTATTTGCGAGAAACGATGAATTCCTCTGTCTCCTTTGAATAGTGACATGATTCCCATGTCTCAACCTTCACAGTAGCTCCCACCAAAACAGGGATCTTTAAAATTTAACTCTTATTACGGTTGGGTCATTTGTTGGAATTAAGATTGTGTGCAAAGATTCCAAGGAAAATTGGATAAATGGTTGGTTTTTACCTGTTACAACTAGATCTATAATGGAAGTGGAATCTATAGCTATCAAGGAAGTTCTTAAGCTCGTGAAATTGGTAGATCTTATGGATGTAATTGTTGAGACAGGTAACACCACCATTTTTAATGCTATTTCTTCGTATTATTCGCATGGTTGTGATTGGCAAAGCTTTCAAACCCTCCTAGATATTTTTGATCTCAAGAAGAAGTTGAGCGGGATTTCATTCTCCCCCGTCAATAGATTTGGTAATAGAGTTGCAGATTTTTTGGCTGCCCTTACCTAAAAGAGGATTTGTCCTTCACAGGGGCAAACCTAGGTAGGGGTTTTTTTTTTGGGGGGGCCACATTTTATTAAATTTTTTTATCAAGTTACAGGGTGATTTTTTATAAGGAAAAAATTAATGCTTTGACCCCTCAATCTTTTAACTTTCACTTTTATCATATTTTCACTATGTATTTCTTACTCCATAGTCCCTATGTAGGTATACATTATTTACTCTCTAGTCCTTTATACTCATGTGTAGCCTTTTTCACTTATAAGGTATGGAGATGGGTATTTTTTTTTTATCCTATTTGTAAGTTAAATTATTAAATTTTTATCACAAATTTTTTATTTTATATTCTATTAAATGTTGGAGAGATAAAGTATGTTATTAAAATATATACATTTAATATGGCCGAAATTAAAAACTTATTAAATTTTTAAACAAAATTAATAAGTTTTAAGATTTTTTATTCCAATCAAATATATTAAAAATGACTTATAAATAAAATTTAAAAATATTTTTATAATTAATAATAGATAAAAATATTAATATATTATTAATTTCTTTTAAATTTTGTAAAGTGAGTTTTTTATATACTTTGAAAAGGTCTTTTCTTATTTTTTAAGTTTTATATAAATAGTTTGTTATCTTATAAATTTTTTAAATTTTATTGTAAAATTATTTTTAATCATTAATAAAAATTAAATAACTTGATCTATACATAATTATATATTATAAAATTGATCTCCCCAGATACACTACTGGTCCTTCGAGGCATCTTGGCTACCTCCGTCCACAATCATGACCGTTCGAAGACGAATTGGATTTGGAAGCTGCAGGAGAAGCACGTGCAGTTGTTGGATGATTTATTTGCATTTTTATCTTGACCTGTTTCCTCTCTTTTTTTGTCACTTTGTGCTTGTTTCTTTGAGCATTTACTTTCAATGAAATGAATACTCCCTTGTCCTTGTGAATCCGGGCCCCACCATTCTTTTCGTAAGTTTCACAGTTCATTTGCTTAACATTAAAATAAATATTTTCTCTTACTTTTATCATAAAACACTTCCAATCATTTTATCCATTTTTTTAAAATAATTTTTTATATTATAAAAAAATAAAATATATTTTTATTTTTACTCTTAATTTTAAATAATAATATAATTATATTAAATTTTTTTATCATAATTAAGAAAGAATAAAAATAAAAAAAGTAATTTAATTATTACAAGGTATTATATATTTTAAATCAAAGATTATTTTTAAAAGTAATTTTATAAATAAAATTGGAGGAGTTAGTAAGCATCATGATACACGCGCATGCAAGTGATTTTTTTTATTTTTTTTTAGTGATAAAAAAAATGGAAACCTTGTACATTAATTAATATAATAAGCAGGTGACCATCATTTGTTCGTCTTTTTTTTTTTTTCCCCTTTTGTTTTCTTTTAGTTTTGCTTTTGTTGTCTTTCTGAACACATTGGCTTTCAGATTAAAGAAGTCCACCTAAATTTTAAACATCATGATCATTATGAAATTACTATCAATACATACATACATCCATGATACATACATATGTAGATGTGTGTGTGTCAGACTATATGTACATTAAAGATTTGTATTATTATAACTATTGTTGTCAAACTCTCATATTAATTCTTTAATTTTATCACTTTTATGTTTATAATTTATAAAATTATATCAACTTACTCATAAATTTAAATTAAATATAAATTTAATTAAACTTGCAAGTTGACTTTTTAAAGTTATTATTTTTTATGTTTCTATCTTATAAAATTGCGTCAATTCATAAATTCAAATTAAATATAAACTTGATTAAGCTCATTAAACTTGCTGATTTTTAACCAAGTCAAGTGAGTTACATATATACTATGTAAAATTTAATTTATAGAAATAGTATGCTTTGATTTAAAGAAAAATAAAACTGAAAAAGCAAAAACTAATATTAATAAAAATAAAAAACAAGAAATACTAAAAATAAGTTGCCTAATTTTGTAATTTTATAATTTTTATGTTAAGTATGATAATATATTAATGTAAATTAATTTAATTTTAATGATTTAAATTTAAAATATATTTAAATTAAATTATAATCATATTTTATATTTTAATCATATACTTTTAATAACTATTTATTAATAAAAATAAACTCTTAAAAATTTACAATTGAAATTTAAATCCATATTATAAATTTATTTAAACTCACAAAATTATTAATCTTTCTCATGACAAGGGCATAGGTGCGGTTTGTCACATGGAATTCTTAATAATTGAGGATGACACCAAAGAAATAGAGATTTGCTAGAACAAAGTGACCTTGAATTTAAGGTTAATAAATTTGGTGAATGTTAAGAAATGCAGTTTTATACTCATTTCTCTTACTCTATACAACAAGGTTCAAGGATTCACAGGAAAAAAAATATTTTGTCTGATTTTCCCAAAACAATGAAGAAATAATCATATTTTCAAGGCTAGATCAATTGTTGCGTGGAGCTAGACCGAATATAGTTTTGAACAATGCTAAGAAAACAGCATTGAACTAACATGTTTGATCAGGAACCAATCACATGTCTAATGAGGTATAACGTGAAAATTGGAGAAGGAAAAAACTTGTCAAGACTTGATTGAACGAACTAATAAAAGTCAGTATAATTGGCAAGTCAATTGGTCAAACTAGCCTTATATTTTTTAAATTCAGCTTATACTTCTCAGCTACAATTTATAATTATATGTATGCAAGAATGCACCCTAATAAGTATTAAGAATTGGGAAAGGGAGAATAATGGGTGAATAAGTCAGAAATGCGTACGTATATGTACGTCTGTACATATTCTAAAATTATAAATAATAAAATAAAATATATTCCTGATCAAAACTATAAAACATTTTTAATTAAATTTTACTTATAATAAAGTTATTACCTACTTTTAAACTAATCCTATCTTTTTATATTTACTCTTATTAAACACCCTACAATAAATATAAAGTCATTATTAATAGAATACTGTTGAAAAAAAACAATAATTATACCTCAAAAAAATTAAAAATACTTTACATTTTTTAACATCTAACTCCTTAAAAAAAAAAGATGAAAATTATGAAATGGTGATAGGATTTGCTTTTTTTTTCCCCTTTCCTTCTTCTAATTATATATATTTTTTGTTTAAATATTTACATTTATTATTATGAATCATTATTTTTTTTACATATATGATATTTAAAATATATTAATACATTCATGATTGATCCACCCATGGCTCAATTATGTTCAGATATTTATAAACTAATGCCTTGAATGGCTTTTTTTTTTTTTTTGCATAGGTTTTGAGATTCAAAATATCTAGAAAAATCCATATCATGAATCACCGGCCACATAAAATCTCCTTTATGCTACATGTAAGCTATTTTACAAAACATGCACGACCTGATAGACTTCCACATTCAATAAACAAATTGATAGAACATCAACCTTCCAATAATCAAATTATTAAACTACTCATCAAGTATTCATCGCAGAAAAAGCTGAATACTCTCACGCATTGAAGCCTAGTTTATTTCAAGTGCTATTAAGTACACAAAATACAAAAAAATCTTTCAATCTCATTTCTAAGTAACACTAAAAGTGTTAGGTTAATAGCCTTAAATAATCACACTAGCATACATAAAACTCTCTTTTCTCGTGGTATCATAAAGTTGAAACCAATGCTTATTTTTACATTCTATTGTCAAACTTATTAGAGATTAAGAAATAAGTGTTACATTTGGAAGATAAAATATATATTAAGAATATATAAAGTTTAGGATGTATCTAACCAAATGGTTTAAGTATTTTGGTAAAGTAAATTATCCTCAATCATATTTAATATAAACAGTTTAACATGATATTGAGCCATTTGATTGGGGCTAAAAGAAAAACAGAGAAAAAAGAAAACAATTAAAAGAATGAAAAAAAAAAGATTAAAAAACAAAAGGAGGAGGAGGAGGAAGAAATTCAAAAGACCTCAGGCCTCTAAGACCCCCCCCAAAAAAAAAAAGTACAAGGCTAAACAAGAAGAAAATGAAAATTGAGAAAAAAATAATAGAAAGAATATTAAAGATAACGGAAGAAATTCCGTGTCTAGATAGAAAATAAATTAAAAATATGCAAAGCTTAGGATATGTCTAACCTTGATTTAAGCTATTTTGGTGAAGTAGATTACCCTTGAGCATAATTAACATAAAGAGTTTAACAAAACTTGCCTCTAATAGCCTCCCAAAATGCGGGAATTGCTATATCGTCCGGCACTTCCTTGAAGGATGGGAGATAGTTTACATCCACAATGACATGGTCATGAGTTCCTTCCTGAATAACAACATCAAATCCAAAGATGGTAAGTTGAAGCCTTCTCCTAAGCCAATTCGCAGCATCCGTGACTAGTTTCAGGTCGATGGATTCATTAGTTCCTGTAGGGCACTCACTAACTACAGAATTCTGGATATTGTCAGCAGTAGGGAGTGACTTTAAGCTATCAAATTCAAGAGGCTTAAGGTCACAGCTTTCAAATGATTTCATCAGGATGTTAGCATTTGGCATTGACTTCTTGACAGCATAGAAAATTTTCTCACCCAACATGTAGAATTTGTACAACGTCGATGAATGATCCACATATTCCTGGATAATTGCCGGCAGGGGAACGCCTAAATTCTTTAAGTCGTCAGCTCTGAAAATAATTGCCATCTTATGAGCATCACCAACACCACAAGCAACTTTCGGTTTCACAATGCATGGTAGAGACAGGTTAGCTTTTCCCAACTCAGTCACAAAATTAAGATCATCAAAATTATCGGCCTTGAGAAAATGAGCCCCTCTGATCACGTAGCTGCTTTCAGTGTTGAGTTCTACCAAGCCAAGTAAAATTTTCTGCATTTCTAACCGATCCAATAATGGGTATATGTTAATCAGTGGGTCAATCACACAGCAATCCTGGTTATGCTCAAAATATTTTCCTAGTTCTTGCATGCTCTGGGTAAAATTGATATTGTCATCTTTAATGGATAATATTTCATCAGTGGCCTTATGGAGAACCACGTCAACTTCCTTTAATTGAGTTGATAAAGGTAAATCAGATATGAGAGGCATAAACATCAACCCATTTTGAGTAGGACACAAAGGAAATGCACCCCTCTTTGCAAAATCCTCCACCCGAGAAGCCTTCATCTTATAGCCTACGGTAACGACATTAAGTCCAAGTGACGTTTTATTCAAGTGGCATATAGTTAATGGCAACCCTTCTAACTTCTCAATCTGAAGTGTGTTTGGTAAGTCACATGAACTTTTACCTCCAACATTAAGAGAAACAACCACCCAACTGTAATTGCTCAATTTAGGCAAGATCTTCTTCTTATTAGAAACTAGATAGACTATACTGCCATCAATATCATCCCAAGTAGGCACAACCTCACATGTGGGCTCATTCAAGATAAAGAAATCAATTGAGTACAAACTTGCCATTCTTCTGAGACGACTGACCTGGTGGTCTGGAAGATCTGCTGTATAAGAGATCCCAATGTGGATTTTGGATAGGAAGATGATGCGAAGAACAGATTCGGCTCCAGGTCGTAGAAGAGATCCATTTTTATCATCAGCAGCTTCAGTTAAGAGTGCTGACTCATCAAATATCACCCCCCTCACCACACCCATATTTGAGAAGGGATGCAACACTGTGAAAAACAAAAATTATAATCATAACATTTTCATGTAACTAAGGCAGAAAGTCATGCAATATGTATATCAGTTAGATTTTATTTATATAGTTTCTAAAATCAGACTATCAATTGAGGTTGATATCCACCAACTATTACAATTATTTAGAAGTAAAAAAAAAAAAAAAAAAACCTAGCAGGTAGCATAGATGAACAAGAAATGGATGATTTAAACAATTATTCTCTGCATTACCAATCAAGAGAGAATATGTCTATCGCCACATCTTATAAGTTTTATCATTGTCAAAAACATACAGAAACAGTTATACAGGTTTTACAAATAAAAGCAAGTTCTTATGATGGCGATGAGCTCTCCGTCTCTCGGGGGGACGCCGTCTTCGGCGATGGCCCGTTCGGTGGAGGAGACTGATGCTTTGAGTCGGAGTCACAAGAAGGTGCGTAAGGAAGGTGCGAGTTTCTCGGGAGAGATTTCGAATGTGCCGCGAGTGGAAGGCTGGATGGAGGGGGATCAGGAGAAGGGTCTGATGCTGTACAAGGATTCAGTTTTGAGAAATTTACCTCACTCGTAGTGCGATTTTGATGTAGATGAGGATTAAGGTCAAGCGGTGATGGAGAATTTCTCTGGTAGTTCGATTATATTTTGGAGCCTGTGCTGGATGACGTGGAGAAGTCGAGACTGCTGAAGTCCTTTAAGAAGATTCAGGCGGTTAAGGTTTTGAGTACAAGCTATGAAGCACTTTTACGGGCATCGGCATTGGATATGATGCGGCATGATACGCAAACACAGTAATTTTCAAAAATTTTATAACAAGGGAGCGATTATATAAATAATTAAATATTAAATATTTAAATACACATATATTTTTTAATACAATAAAATAGTTAAGTAATTAAGCACTATTAAATAATAAAAAATAATGATTAATTTAAATTAATTCTCTTATAAATTAATTCACACTCTTTGAACTAATACTTTATTTAGAATTAGAAGCTATTGCCAAACTAATTTATATTAAAAATTTGTAACTAATTTTATGCAATTTTAATATGAAAAGAGGTAATAAAAATTTCACACAAACAAATAAAATTTATCTAAATGTAAATGCAAGCTGTAGGCAAGCCGCAAAAGTACAGAGCAATTTGCTTAGAAAGCATTAGCTTGTTATGTGTTTCAAGTTTACAAGATCAGAAAGCACAATGTCAGTGTGTTTCATTTAAATGTAAACACAAGTTGTGTTGATTCACTTGACTAACTAAGGAGGAAGAGAGACACATCGTTAAGGAGGAGATTGGCTGAGCAACACTAGTTACATGAGTTGACAAGATGAGCGACGATGACAATCATGAAGTAGGGTAAAAAAGGTCGAACTGTTGAAGGCTCAAAGCCACATGTCAGAGGGAAGAAGACTTGAAAACTTATAATAGTGGGATGAGCTAACTGTGTTTTAGTCGATGACTCGATGCAGACTTGAAACTTGAATATCATAGCCGAACAAGGCAAGAAGACATAAGAAGTGTCAGCAAGTTGATTAGTGGTGCTTCTTTAGTAATGGTCGATAAACTCTCCAAACAGATTCAAAGCCAAAGACCTTCCATGTGTCAGGTAAGGCCATAAAGGATTTGGGAAAGTTATAGAGTCAACAAAGCAGGGCATCTAGTTTTGAAAAAAAGATGCCAAAACGTTATGTCCCATGTTCAACAAGTGTCCACCTATACTAGCCCATGTTCGACTGTATCAACAATAAAAAAAACGAATGCACTGCATCTAGTTGAAGATGCGCATTCATGTTAGATACATATTCGACGCAGACATGGCACCCATTTTGGCATGTTCATGCTTCCTAAGGTAGAAGTGTTTTTTTTTATGCATTTATGAAGCATTTGAACAAGATTTGGGTGAAGGAAAGGTAGACAGGTGTTTGTGATTTAGTGAACGATTTTTTCTTAGTTAAATCCAAAAGTCAGGATGATTATGAAGCAATGTTGACTGGCAAGCTTTGGATCTTCCAAGATAGTTATATGTGGGTTATGAGATGGCATAAGGATTTTGATATGATAAAGTAGATTGTGGATAAAGCTAGTGTGTGGGTTAGGCTACTTGATCTTCCTACGACTTACTATGATAAGAAATTTTTGTTCAATCTTAGCAATACTATTTACCCCGAGAGAGCAAGCTTAAGCAATGAAAGACAATTCATAAACAATCTTCACAAGTTAAAAACAATGTTGGTTTTAAAAAGAAAATTCAAAGTTCCAGGTGTTTATGATTTTTGAATTTTTAAAGGAAAAATGTGGAATGAAGTGAAATTGACTTAACTAAGCATAAAAATGAGTTCTTCAAAGTTTAAATCCACTTTTACTATCATAAAATCCTAAATTCAACTCATTTGATTCTTGCAATTCATTTGACATTAAGAAAATGCCTAATTACCATTAGGACTAAGCAATTATGGGTTAAACCATGACATAATCTCTCTAAAAATAATGCCAAATCATGACTTGACTCTGAAATTAGACCTTTCTTTGACCAAGCATGTTCTAACACTTAGAACTAATCAAGAATTAAGTAATTAACTTCAATTTAAGACTTAAATATAAGCTAAATGATTCAGACATTACTATAAGGATTGGACATATTAGAATTTACACAACAATAGCCATTGAAGTATAAATTCAAATATATAATATGCATCATCCAATTTTAAGAATCAAATCATAACATCCAAGTCTCTTAAAGGGATGTAATCAACTAAAAAACTCAATCTAATCAGAATTGAATCAACTCTTTGAAAGCAACAAAGAAGTCAGAGAATTCATATGTGAATTACAACACAATAGTAATTCATTAAACTAAGAATACTTAAGTTTAAGTCTCATCTTTCTTGAAGAACTCTAAAAAAGATTTAACTACTCATTTTGATTTTCTTAATGACTACTTGAAGGAAGATGGTTGTAAAAGCTATCATGGATGAAAGTTGGAAGAAGCTGTGAATATGTGAGTTGTGCGATAAGTATATGACCAACTCTGTGACTGAGAAGAAGAAGATGAGTGATGGTGTATGATGACTAAAACTGAGAACTTAAGAGGAGATGAGTGTTGCTATACATGTGGTGGCGACGAGCAAGAAGAAATTTGCAGTGATGCATGACGACCTTTGGAACCCTTGAGGAAGATGAGAATTCTGTGCATTCCCATGAACGGCTGAGCTCAGACTGAGAAGAGGTGAGCGATTATTGAAACTGAAAGTTGAGATGATCTGAAACCTCAAAGGAAGATGAGAAGAGATGTGTGATCGTGTGTCTCGGTGGTGATCTAACTCTGACCGAAAGGAAATGATGAAGATGAGCTCTGCGTTCAGTCTACCTGTGAAGACGATCCCACGTGCATGGTTCTGTTTTTGTATTTTTTTTCGTTGCTAAGAAGTCAAAAAAATAATTTAAATAAAAAAGAAAAAAATTGTCAAATTAGCTCCTAAATGCTTAAAAACGTAAAATTAACAAAACTAAATCAATCTAATAAAATTGAACCAAATAAAATCCTAAAAATGAGAATAAAAATTGCTTAGATGATAAAATGTGTCAAGGAACTGATATTTCAAATTAAAAATAATTAATTTCAATAAAATGTGCAAAATAACCAAAGTACCTCTAATGCCCAAACTTAATGAAAAATGAGCCAATAATCAAATTCAGTGCCAAAACAATACATATAAGGGTCTAAGCTAATAAAATATGGTCACAAATATAAAAGAAAAGTGTGCAAAATGTTATTCATTAGCAAGGCTATTAAAGTTGATTTATATACTGTGCAACATGGTAAAGGCAAATTTGCGAGAGTGTGTGCTAAACTTGATTTAACTAAGCCTTTAATTCCTAAATATAGTATTGAGGGTGTAGTTAAAACCATTGCATATGAATATATGGGTTTGTTATATCTTTATTGTGGCAAGTATGGGCATATTAGAGAGGCTTGTGAGGAATTGGATAAATTGAAAAGAGAAAAGAGTAAGGATAAGGTTGAGGGATAATGTAATTCTCATGTTGTTCAAGATGCAATAGAGAAGGGGAATGTTGTTGAGGAAGATATTGAGGAGAATGAGAGCCCTTGGAAGGTTGTATAAAGACCTTAGAGACAAAGAAGGCCTTGAGGTCAAGGGGCAGTGGTAAGGGGGAAAACAAGTTTGCTGCTATCAATAATCATTGAGAAGCCAAGTTCTATAACTCTCCTTTAGTTGATATTACAAATGTTACTCATATAGGGTAGGTGATATGACGATATCAAAGGGCTTTGTGATATGGTGTTCTATCTAAACAGTAAATTAGATAGAATTATGGATCATCTTAGGATCTCAAGAGCACAAGAAGGAGAAATAAGGAGATAAGATGAAGCTAGCCATTTAAGGTACCGAGAAGGCTTAGTACATGAAGTCTCTTCTTCCTCAATCTCCAGAACCAAGTCTATCATACCTCCTTCTCTTTTTAAAATGCCTTCACCTTATGATCTTTCTTCTTATGAACAAAAAAACCTTCTACTTCATAAAGACCAAGAGTCTTCCATCTATCAACAAGCCAAGACTTAACAATAAGACAGACCCCACCGAACTGAGTCTCAAACTGAATCCCAGAGCCATCATGAAACTTCTAAGCCTATTCACCCATTTGATGATCTTCTTGATCCAAATCTTCCACCCTTTCTAAAATCCACTGAAACACCAACATTTGAAGACCTCTATGAGGACATTATAGACATGAGTATCACCAAACTTGTTGGTGAACTCAATAAAAATGTTGGAGAGCCAGTCACTCCTTCTTCCATTCTAAAGCATATGCCTTCTCCTGCTCATTTTTCTACTCAATCTGTTACAAAAACTTTTCACCGTAAGAAAACCATTTCTAAACACAAACAAAATAAGCCTTTCCTACGTTAAGAATACTTTCTGATTAAGGAGACTATTATAGATGAGCCTGAAGATCAAGCAAATCAAATGGACCTTGAAGGCTAGACTTAATAGCAAACTACAGAGAACTTAACTATTGAATGTTAGTTTGAAGAGCACCCAAAGGAATAAGCTAGATCTAAAGGAGCTACTAATAGCGCAGAGAAAGCATTGGATCATATTCTTGCTATCGACCTTAATGATTCCTTTACTTAGGCTATGATTCCTTCAACTCAACCTTTCAACCCAAATTCTTTGTGTAATAGAGAAATCCTGAAAGCCTATTTGCATTCTCAAATTCACTCTCTCTTAGGAAGGCCTATATCCTTTTGATGATGACAAAAGGGGAGAGAATACTATTATAACCTAAAGAGGGAGTATAGTAGGATATTATAGACAAGAGGAAGAGTATATTAGTAAAGGGAGAAATGTGGTAAGCAAATCAAGTTGGTTACTTTATTTTGTATTTAGATCATTGATAAATTATACTAACACTCCTTGTATCTTCAAAGTTTATAAATGAAATGCTTTATTTAGATTGAATTTATGTTATTTCAATTTTACAATTTAAAGTTGATATTTTACACTTATATTTTTAAACTCCTATGCTTAA